TCTTTGATGCCTGATACCTGATCCCATCAACACCTCATGATCACAAAGGCTGACACCTCTATTTCTTGTTGGGTTCAATAATTTGTCACTTGGCCCCCTGATGATAGGCTTCTCACAACCTTGCTGTATGGCATCACTGACTCGCCCCTGGGCCCATGCCAGCTTGTCTCTGTCTTCAGTGTCACACACCCCTTCACCTATGGTGCAGCTCTTAGAGAAGGTGACTTGTCGCCCTCTCTCTGCTGCTTTCTCTTGCCTTTTCTGCTTCTTTCTGTGTCCTGTCTCTTCCTGCTACTCTGTCAGAAAACAAACAAGCAAACCAACCAACCTCTGTGGAGCTGAACCCTTATATTTACAAACTGCTCATCAATTTCAAGGCACTAACCCAATTCCTTTTTGGTAGGCCACAGATACTTAATTTGCATAGGAGGCTATGATAACTTCATTTGCATAGTTTGTTGACCAATCCCTTGAAGGTACATGCTGATCACAGGGCAAGCTGCAGCCCAGGGCCAGACAAAAACGGTCCAGACCACAAGCCTGTGGCACAGCTGATCAGAGGCTGTCCTATCAGAACAAATCTATATCCTGAGCATTCTTTTACCTGAATTGTCACCTGTTACTTCCCTAAACCAAACTCACTGCCAGCAAGTCAGTTCTGACTCATAGTGGCCTTTTAGGACAGGGCAGAGCTGCCCCGGAGGGTTTCTGAGGCTGTGAGACTCTACTGGAGTAGAAAGCCTCCTCTGTCTCCCACGGAGTGACTGGTGGTTTCGAACTGCTGACCTTGAGGTTAGCATCCCAGTGCATAACTTGCAACCCCACAAGGGCACCTTTTACTTCCCTAATAATCCTGAGTGTTACCTGTGAGTTCTGCGTGGCCATGACCACGAATTATCAACACCAGCAGAGAAACAGAAAATGCCGTGGGCAGGACAGCTAGTGTCATAATTAATCAGAAGGATGGAGGGTGGCAGCCTATTTGACCTCCACCTGTAGGGATCGGCCTGGATGACTGATGCTGGTCACCTTG